AGAGATAAGATGACTTGCCCAAGGTCATATAAGTAGCATATGGCAAAATCAGCATTCAAATCTAGGTTCTCTGATTCCAAATCCAGTGATGTTTCCATGGTATCATGCTATATTCACTGTCTTTGCACCTTCTTCTTTCCTTTCTATACGTCCCTTTTCTCCCCATACCTTTTTCCTCCCCCTCCCCCTTTAAAGTCATTCATTGTCATGATTATTTCAATCCATCCCCTTGGATCATAGGATTATAGATTTAGAATGGGAAGGGACCTTAAAAGCCATCTAGTCTAACCCACTCATATAACAGAAGCCCAGAGAGGTTAAGCGATTTGGTTGAACAGCTATTAAATGTCATAGGTGGGATTTGAACCCTGGTCTTCCTGACTCCAAGTGAGGCTATTTGTCATACCACACACTTAGGAATTTCTCCTTTGTTCTTTCTCCCCTTTTATAGCAACTTCCTTGTATCTTGCCATTTATACACAAATTCCAATTGCTCATCTAACGGGTTGCTTTACATCCTTTTCAAAATGGTGGTTACACCAACAGATGATAGGTAAACTGATTGTTGCCTGGCTCATCTTCATGATGGTCACTACCTGCTTGTATCCAAAATGTCCATGTAGTAATTTGTTTCCATTATTAAGAAAGTCACAATCAAGGGATGTCTGTGCTAAAATTCCTGATGGCAGGTTGAAATCAATTGAAAAAGGCTATGTACTCCTTATTAGGAGTATTAGGTAGGCCTTTAAAGGAGGCCAGCTAATGTAATAGCAAATGGGTCAGATGGGTCATATTCTATTCCTTTGTTTGTTCATGACTGTGTATATTAAGAAAAGATCTGGTTTTTCAGTTAACTCATCTGAAAAATGGGAATAAGCTTTCCCTCATAGACTGTATCATGTGTTATAAGAATGCTAATACATTTAATTAGATTTTTAAAAATCTTATGTCCCCTTTTCTCTACTCACACAGCCAAGAACCTAGTTAAGGGCCTCATCACATCTCTCTTGGACTATTGCAATATTCAAAAGGCCATTTCAGAATCATAAATTTTCAGAGTTGCTTCAAGACTCAACCAAAGTGCCTCTTGCACTCTGAAGCCTTTCCTAATCCCCCTTACTGTGAGATAGCAGAAAGAAAAATGGGCTTGGAATCAGAGGCGATGGGTTGGACTGCCATCTTTATGACCTTAGACACACACTAAAAGAACCTCTCTGTGCCTCAGTTTCCTTATCTGTAACCCAAAAGGGTTGAATTAATTGATTTTTGAGGTTTCTTTCAGCTCTAAGTCCTATAGCGGGAAGTTGTAAAAAGTTTCCTGTAATCTCTGTCTCCTTCATTTTTCTCAAGTAAGTTTGTATGGGTCTCCCCTTTTCCTTGATCGTTTTCTACCTTGTGCATTTCATGTTTATTTGAGGCTTGGAGTCAATAAGACGTAAGTTCAAACTCTGCCTCAGGCATTTTCTAGTTCTGTTATTCCATAGTTTCAGACTCTCATTTTACAGATGAGGAAGCTGAGGCAAAGAGGGTTAAGTGACTTGCCCAGGGTCACACAGCTAGTAAGCATCTGAGGCCAGATTTGAACTCAGGAAGATGAGTCTTTTTGCTTCCAAGCTCAGTGCATTATGGTGCTGCCTACTAGCTCTGTATCCCTGAGAAACATAGTGTATCTCTTGTTTCCTCTCTCAGCATCAGTTTCCCTACCTGCAAAATGGGGATAATAATGGTATCTATCTCCCAGAGTCGTTGTGAGGATCAGATGAGACATAAGCTTTGCAAACCTGGTGTTGTCAAACTCATATAGAAATGCCAATCAGTGGGTCATACACGTACTTAGGTTTTTTTGTTTTTTGTTTGTTTTTTGGCTAGGCAATGGGGTTAAGTGACTTGCCCAGGGTCACACAGCTAGTAAGTGTTATGTGTCTGAGGCCGGATTTGAACTCAGGTCCTCCTGAATCCAGGTCTGGTGCTCTATCCACTGTGCCACCTAGCTGCCCCTGGACTTAGATTTAAAGGGTAATATTAGCTATGCTTTATTGTATTTTAATTTATTTTATTAAATATTTCCCAATTACATTTTAATGTGGTTCAGGCTGCATTCTGGAATGTTGTGGGCCAAAAGCAGTATATTTAATTACCTCTACTTTACAGTACTATATAAATGCTAACTATTATTTTTGTGGTACATATTCTCTCATTTCTTACTCTTCCACTCCCTCAGGGCAGACACTTTTCCCTTTTAAATCCTGAGGCCCTGCATAGTGGCCTGCACATAGTAGGTACTTTATCCCTGTTTGTTGAATAGGATGGGATTGAATGGTGTTAAATCTGGCAATGAGGTGTGGCAGTAAATAGAGCACTGAACCTGCAGTGAGGAAGACCTGAGTGTGAATCCTGCCTCAGATACTAGCTATATGATCCTGGGCAAGTCATTTAACCTCTTCATGCTTAGTTTCTTTATCTATAAAATGGGGATAATAATAATAATAATAATAATAATAATAACAACAACAATATCTACTTCCCACAGATGTTGTGAGGATCAAAGGAGATTATATGTGTAAGGCATGTTGAAAACCTTTGAGTGCTATATAAATGTTAGCCCTCCTCTTTTTCCTTCTTTTCCTCCTCCTTTTCTTCTTCCTCCTCCTCCTCCTCCACCTTCTTTTCTTCTTCTTCCTCTTCCTCTTCCTCTCCTTCTCCTTCTCCTTCTCCTTCTCCTTCTCCTTCTCCTTCTCCTTCTCCTTCTCCTTCTCCTTCTCCTTCTCCTTCTCCTCCTTCTCCTCCTCCTCCTCCTCCTCCTCCTCCTCCTCCTTCTTCTTCTTCTTCTTCTTCTTCTTCTTCTTCTTCTTCTTCTTCTTCTTCTTCTTCTTCTTCTTCTTCTTCTTCTTCTTCTTCATCTTCCTGCTGCTCCTCCTTCTTCTCTTCCTTTTCTTCCTCTTTTTCCTCCTCCTCCTCCTTCCTCTTCCTCTTTCTCTTCTTCTTCTTCTTCTCATCTTCCTCCTCCTCCCTTTCCTCTTCCTCCTTTTTCTTCTTCAGCTGGCACCCTGTTAGTTCAAATATAAAATTCAAATGAAATGAAGCACTCCTAGGTCACTGAACAGTTAACAAACAGAGGTTTACTTAGCTTTGACACATAAAGGACATACAATAACGCTTGGCTTCAGCAGATGCAGCCTCCCTTGTTTTTTATTCTTCCACATATAAACTTGTCTGGTCAGCAAGGCAAAGTATAGTGACTCGAGTTGTGTCAGGACATCCACTAAGTCTGAAGTGCGACAACCCTACGTGAATGGAAACTTTTAAATGCCTAGGTGACCAGGAGGCTATGTCAGCATAGCCAGAGGTCACTAGGAAGCTGCCTTTAAACTGCCTTACCCTATGTCTTGAGTTAATCAAGTCCCAACTTTGTTGCCTTTTAGGGAAAAGGCAGCTTAACATATGTAGCAGCTAGGTGGTACAGTGGATGGTCCTGGAGTCAGGAAGACTCATCTTCCTGAATTCAAATCTGGCCTCAGACACTTATTAGCTGTGTGACCCTGGATAAGTCACTTAACTCTGCCTCAGTTTTTTCATTTGTAAAATGAGCTGGAGAAGGAAATGGCAAACCACTCTAGCATCTTTGCTAAGCAAACACCACAAGCAGTCACAAAGAGAAGAAATGCTTGAATTGAATAATAAAAGCCCAACTCATGCATAAGAGTAGAGGAGACTGGTTCTATCACAAATGGCACTCTTTCCCAAAGCTCCATCCTAGTGTCTTTAGTCCCTGTCCTAGGTTCCAAAATGGAGACACACTAAAGCATCGTTCTCTGCTGCTTTCTCCCTTAGTAAGATAATTTTAATAAGACGGATCCCAGATGGTAGCTGGTGCTGGCACTGTGATTCCTGGTTCTGGGAGGGGGCTGGAATGAGGTTCCTCCACTGAAATGAACCCAGACTAGGCGGGTCCAGAGGTCTGAAGACATCCCTGAGGGTCTGAAGGGCATTCTACCTTTTTACACTGAGGAGTGGGGAAAAGTAGGTAGTTCCCTACCATCCTTAGAAACTCTTATAAGGGACTTGACATCACAGGAATTTTCCTAGTCTGCTTTTTTGGTTTGTTTTCTCTCTTAGTTTTACTTTTTCTCATCTCCTTTCTCTTTAAATGTTTTATTGATTATTTTTTTTTAAAAAACATCACCGTTATTTTCCAACACCTCCCCTCTATTCATAATAGAACCCCACCCTGTACCAAAATCAGTACAGTCTAGCAAAACAAATCAATACATTGGCTGCGTCTAAAAATGTATACATTATTCTGCACCTACAGTCTTCCTACTCTATTAAGAAAAAGGCCTATTTTTTTTGGAGATTGTCTGACCCTGATTGAATCCTAGCACCTGACTTAGAAAAGTGTTTTATATAAGGAGGCTGAAACATGGTACTCATCTCTCAGACTGTGGGTTGTCTTTGTGCATTACGTTATTTGTTTTGCATTATGCAAAAGGACCAGTCTACCATGTTTTCCTAGATGCTGAATCTATTATGTCTGCTTGGACGCAGCTAAGGAAGAGAGCCGAAGTTATAATCATCATAGGTCTGGATATTGAGATTTGGTAGACTGGATGTGTATTTTAGTATACAATTTTATGCATGTACTATTGCTACGTGGGCATGTATTATATTTATGCACTTGACCTACATAGTTGTTTACTATGTAGAATCTGTTGTGTGTGCTTTGTGTTATGTATTGCATAACATCTATGTTTTTGGTGTTATGTGTGTCATATTGTAATATATGCTGTTATTATACAGCATGTTAATTTCTACATTTCCATATGCAGTTTTATATGTTCATAGAAATTTTGGTGTCGTCTGTGCAGTTTGTGGGGACTGAAAATTCTTCAGTAGGGGGAAGATGCAGGTTAGACTTGTTACCAGCCATATGAGGGAAGTGACCAATGAAGACGAGTCCTTAGAGCATGCTCATATTTGCCTTTCCTTGTGAGTTACAGGAAACATGCATAATATTCCCTGTTTGGTTTCAATCTAACATGCGAAGGCTTGGTGAACCTACTTCTAGACATTAATGACAGTTTTAATGCTGTGTGGTTGCCTGAGGAGCCAGAAAGTCTGACAACTCAGGAGGAATGGAGCTGGAACTGAATTCAAATACAGAAATATTGGTATGTGCCCCTTTCAGTCTCTTGCATTCTTTCTTTCTGATGGCTGGTAAGACAATAACCATTGTGAGCCACCAGAGGGCAGGAGGGTAGCAGCTTCCTATCCTTTCCCCTGGTGCCATCTATCGGAGACCATAGAGTGCCTTTATTTCCTGTATGTTTGGTTTTTTTCCTGATCTTAGTTGGAGTATTCCAAGGGGGAGGGGGATATCCAGGTGACCAGGGAGCTGGAGATATATCAAAACAATCGGAGGTCCAACTGACAACCAATGCTGAAAGCTGAAGCGGCCAAGTCCAATGTGGAGCTAGCACAGTAGTTGAATAACCTGCTTGACTTAGCCCAGAAGGGGATTGAACTGTTGGCAAAGACACTGTGCCATATAAAGAGACAGCCCAGCTGAGCATGAGAAGTTTACTCATTTATTACTGATGTCTCATCCTGAACTGGACTTGGTGGTAGCCCCTTGAAGAAAGAAAAAGATTACCAGGGCACTGAATCCCAAAATAGCCCTTGGCCTCATGTGTTCTCTATATGTAAGTCCCCTTGCCTTTGAACTTAATGTTTGAAGACATTTTCCCAGAGACATTGTATGTACATGGAAGGGGAGAGTATACCTCATAGCTGAGGGATTGTTTTATAACACTGTTCTTGCTATACGTCCTCAGCAGATATCCTTTTGTAAGAGCTAACTGATGTCAGTTGTTTGGTTGATATTGGAAAACACACTGAATAAGGACTTGTGAGCACTAGTATTAGAAGCTGCAACCTATCAGGATTACCCCTTGACCCATGAGGGGAGTGGTATTTTCTCCTCTGGGACCCAACCTGCTAAGGCCAGTGAGAGTTGTATGACTGGGCTGGCTGTGATATCTACATATCTACATCTGTATCTGTATCGATATGGATATTGATATATACATATACAAACTCAAATATATACATATAAATACACATATATGTGCATTACATTATAGACATATCTAGACATATGCATTCACATATGTCTGTGTGTATTTGTCAGCATAGATTTTTATAGGCCTATGTGTGTCATATATGTCTATATGTGTGCACATATGTACATGTGCTTGTGTATGTAAATATAATGGAGTATAATAGAATCAGAGAAGGATGATGACCTTGGGTTCTGAGATTAGCTTTATTTTTGTGTCTGTCTTATTAAATTAAAAAACAAAAGCCTTGTGAACTGTTAAAATGGAAGAAACTCCAGGTCCAAAAAGGGGGACTTGGAATGAGCCATAGTCTAATCACAGTTTACAAAGATTATAAATGCATTATTGCCTGAGAAACAGCTTGCAAGCTGGAACAGTGAGACAGTGTCCTTATCTGTTCTAAGGGGATTTACAGGGAGGTACTTATATTTTTTTTTTTAAAAAGGAAGGCAGGGAATTTGGGAGAAAGGCTAGAATTGGGAAGGTCCCTAGGAAGGAATGAGGCTGGGAGCCCCATTCTCAAGGGGAGGGAGAGATCCAGGAAACAGGGAGCGCGAGGAATTCCAGGTGGTAAAGCTATGGCCCTTTGATACACAAATCAGAAGGTGTTCTCCATCACAAGCAGTCCTGGCAGTTCAAGGTTCGAGTACAAACAATAAGATAAGGGGATGTCTCCAAAAGCTATAAAATAGGATGTGTCCAAGAGCTCCATAACCAACAGTTAGGGGAGTCTCTGCAGATAAAGATGTCCCTTGAAGCTCCATAAACCACCAAATAGCTCAGGGTCTGCTTCAAAGCTGGTATGAGCTTAATTGTCTTCAGAGTTACTGATTTTCTGCATGTCCAGCTGAGTTTACGCTCAGTTACCGCAAAGGATTATTGGTATGTCAAGCAACGCTGTGTCTTGGCTAATACAGCCAGTCCTCATACACCTCTTCTTGGTTACCTGGATAATTGGGGGGGGGCTCAAGCAAATCAAGGTAGTGAGCATATCCATTTTTACACTCTTATTCCCATTCATTTACTTGGGAGAGTTTTATAGTTTTAAAAAAATGGGCATCTAGAACAGAGTGAGCCTTTGGCAGTTCGTTGGCAAGGAAGTCTCTAAAACATACCCTGATTAGGTGTGGTTTGGCCAAATAAAGCATAGAATTCAATGGGCTTTCTGACTCTAAAGACTCGTTAGTGAGACAATGGCTTTGGTGACCAGGAGATACAGGTGAAGAAATCTGAAGGCCCAAGTTACCTGGAGGCAGCTCTACTCTGTGTTCCATGGAACTTGGGTGCCTGAAGTGCTCCTTATCAGGAGGAAAGCCCATTCTAGTTAAGCCCTGCCTCACCCACCCCTCCCCTCAAAAAAAAAAAGATAGAGCATGACTTACGGGGTGAGGGGGAAATGCTGGAATACATTTTTCATTAAGTTTGATGATGAGGCATATGAGGTTTCTGCTTTTCTAAAAGATCTATAGCAAAAAAGGTTTTGTGCTTTAACCCAAAAGAACAGTGACAGAATCCACTCCTATGAATAAAAAGAAGCATCTTAGTTTAGGATTCTAGTTTAATCCAGAAAGGGCAGCTAGGTGTCTCAGTGGATAGAGTGCCAGGCCTGGAGTCAAGAAGACTCATCTTTGTGAGTTCACTTATTAGCTGTGTGACCCTGGGCAAGTCACTTCACCCTATTTGCCTCCGTTTCCTCATCTGTAAAATGAGCTGGAGAAGGAAATACCAAGCCACTCGAGTATCTCTGCCAAGAAAACCCCAAATGGGATCACGGAGTGTTAGACACAACTGAAGTAACTGAACAAAGACAAATTAATCCAGAAGACTGAAGCAGAGAGAAATCCCATAACCTAGTACCCAGTGGAGCTGGGCATGGAAGCACCTAGCAGTGCCCATGGATAACATGATACAATAGAATGAGTAATGGATTTGGAGTCAGAAGGCCTGGGTTCAAATGATGACTGCTACTTTTGGGACCTTGGGTAAATCATTTAACCTCTCTAGGTCTCTGTTTGCTCATCTATAAAATGAGTCAGTTAGATTAGATGACTTCTAAGGTTCTTTCCAGATCTAAATCTACCATCCTTATAACATCAAGCAGCAGCCCTATGGAAGGAGCCAGCAGGCAGAATACTGGCTGAGACTAAACATCCAGCAGAAATTACATGCCTTGGAAACATTGCACGTGGGGCGTGCCCACAGGAGCAATGTGATAACATTACCAGAAGACCTGGAGCTTCAGAGTTGGGAGTCACCCTTGTACACAAGTGTGCCATCATCACATTTGTTCCTATGTGTGTCCACTCTTACTATCGGTTTGTTTTTTGTTTTGTTTCACAAACTACGTATTTGTGAAAGGGTATGTCCCAGGTTTAGTGGAGAATGTTTTACTGCTACTTTTCTTGCTATGCTATTTTATTAAACGTCTTTTTGTGAACTACTTGTGCCCTTTGCGTAGGTACAAAAAGTAAACACATTGGTGGGGGCTCATGATCTTTGTTTTTGATATGGATGCAGACCCACGGAGTACCTTGAATTTAGGGTAATCTTGTTTGGGGGACCTACCATGAGGGTTGGGTGTGGCTCTACACTCGAGGTAGGGAACCTTCTGCCTCAAGGCCACATGTAGTCCTCAAGGTCCTCAAGTGCGGCCCTTTGACTGAATCTAAACTTCACAGAGCAAATCCTGTTAATGAAAGGATTTGTTCTGTGAAACATAGACTTAGTCAAAAGGGCACAGCTAAGGACCTAGAAGGCCACATGTGGCCTCCAGGCTACAGGTTTCCCAGCTTGCTCTAGGTTCTACATGCGATAGGTCCTTAGTGTATACTGAACTTTATCGCTTGATGCCAGTGTATGGATGCTAAAACTTTTCTCAGTCAGATGGTGAGAATCTTTAAAAATTAGTTAATGCTATTACTCTTGACTGCTTAATAGGGCTCAGATAAATTTCCAGCTAACCAGAGGGGCTCACTGATAGATAGTACAATCAACTATTAGCTCAGTCCCTTGGGAAGGAGCTGATGACAGAAGGAACTGGGGAATAAAATCAACCTGAGAACAAAAGGTGGTCTAGTTGCCTGGATTCATGGTATTACATAGTATTTCTTTTTCACTCAGGTTTCCCAGGCAGGTGACTTATGAAGATGAGTTTGTGTATCCTGTCTCCTTAAAAGGATTCCTGATTTCAAGCACTATAATGAGCTTTCTCTATATGCAGGTTGCTTCCTGAGATAGGTTTGGCCTCGCAGGCCTGGTGAGTGATTGTCACAACTAGCACTTTGTTATACCCGATCATAATTTAAAGGAATTAGACCCTTGGGGAAGACAAGATGCTGTTTATCTTTGTTAGTTGGCTAAGTGAGGGTGACTTAATTCACAACACCAGTCCCCATGGGATAAGCCAAAGAATTGATTTCACCTTGGTTCCAGGCTGTCTTGTGGGGTGAGAGCCTTGGTATTAAAATGTTCTGGAAAAGTACACTGTGATCCTATCACCATATCCAAGATCACACTTGGATTTTGGCCACTGTGAAACAGAGCACATGTGAGTTAGGCCCACAAGAGGACAGAGATTTTTCTGTTCTTCCCACAGGTGGATAAATGAACAGAGAATACTTGAATCTGTGAATAAGAAATCAGATAAGCAGAGCTGTAACTAGGAATTTTTTCATCTGAGGCAAAAGAGGGGTAGCAGTAGTGCAGAAGAGGGGAGAGAGAGAGAGAGAGAGAGAGAGAGAGAGAGAGAGAGAGAGAGAGAGAGAGAGAGAGAAAACAGCAGAGTGAGCAGAGGACAGTGTGACCTAGGTGAGTCAGGAGAGTGGGTAGTCCATTCTCTGCACCAACCCCAGCCTATGACCCTACTCTTATCATTCTGTACCAGGATTTGGCTTCCCTCACAATCTGTGGGGGTGGAAGTATACCCCTCTCTAGTTTGTTACCCTGGTATAAAACCTCAATTCCCCACCCTAGTTACTGTTCTGTAGTAAATGATTTTTTTTGGGGGGGGGGCTAGGCAATGGGGTTAAGTGACTTGCCCAGGGTCACACAGCTAGTAAGTGTCAAGTGTTTGAGACTGGATTTGAACTCACGTCCTCCTGACTCCAGGGCTGTGCTCTATCCACTGTACCACCAAACTGCTCCTTAGTAAATTATTTTTAAATAAGAATGATGCATGCTTACAACTATTAGGTCTAAGAGGACACTCAGAAGGGTCAAATGAGTTAAAATTAATCTTTTTATACTACAGCCACTTCTATGTGTATACATGCAACACTATAAAGTTATAATAAACTTTGGCCAGGTTCATTATGTGTCATAAACCAAAACTTCTGCACTCCATAAGCCAACCCATTAAAAAACAAAGGCTTTCTTTAGTCTCCAAAGCTGCAGATGGAAGGTGCTTGATAAGGAAGTGATAGTAAAGAGTCCAGCTGTCAAACCTTAGCATGTTTCATCCAGGCCTTTGGCATAAAGCTGTTGAGATTAAAAACCATGGTTACATAAACTCACCCACACCCTCAAGGGAATTAAACCCCTTTTCTCTCACAATGGATATACTTCCTGCAGCTTTTCAGATTAATCTGGCAGACAGCCTAAAATAATCTCTTGGGTAACAAGTGATTCTTAGTAATAAGAGGGGAGAGAAGTGCCTTTCCAAATGGGTCTCTGCTAGAGATGAGGGAAAGGGAATGAATCTTTTGCAAACATGATTTCATTTGATCCTCACAACAGCTCTGGGAGGTGCTGTTATTATCCTCAAGGCAGACAGAAGTTAAGTGACGTACTATGTGCCAGACATTGTGCTAAGGACTTTTACAAATATAATTTTATTTGACCCTCCTAACACTCTGGGATTTTATATCTGTTATTATCTCCATTTTACTGCTGAGGAAACTGAGGCAGATGAAGTTGAGTGACTTGCCCAGGATCACATAGTAAATGTCTGAGGTTGGATTTGAACTCGGGTCTGCTTGACTCCAGGTCCAGTGTTCTATCCACCGTGCCGCCTCGTTGCCAATGAAGGTAGTCTACAGCACATCGGGTGGAATCCCTGTGGCAAATTTGTGGGAAGACACCAGCTAGAGTTACGTGGAGAGGCATGGATAGGTTGTATTATTGTGTAATGAATTTTAAAGGTTAGACCGTGGATCCTATTTATTTAGCAGGGACTGGCTGGAAAGTAGAGTTGGGAAATCCCAGAACCTCAGATCTAGTGCTAACACAAGGCAAAACACAGCAAATCAGCACACAGGATGAGCTAGACAGGGAGGGTATCAGAGGTAGCAACAGCCTGTATCAACCTATATAGGTAGGGTAGGGACTATTTTTCATTTTGTCTTCCTATCTTCCCGGTACAGCCAAACGATAAAAAACCTATTGAATTGTGTTGAAGTCAGAGAAGGATAGGATTAAGGGAACAGGTGGGTCAGGTTTAATCAATTTAAATTCAGTAAACATTTATTAAGCACCTACAGATGCCCAGGCACACTGCTAAGCACTGGGGAAACAAAAAGAGTCAAAAGATAGTGCCTGCCCTCAAGGAATTTACAATCTAATGGGGGAGGCGACTTGTAAACAAACATATACAAAGCAAGCTATATACAGGATAAATAGGAAATAATTAAAAGAGAGAAAGTATTGAATTCAGAGATGGCTTTTTGTAGAAGGTGGGATTTTAGTTGGGACTTAAAGGAAGTCAGGGAATCTAGGAGGCAGAAATGAGGAGGGAAGCATCCCAGACATAGGAGACAGCCAGAGAAAATTCCTGGAGCTGAGAGATGGAGCAGTGTCCCTGAAAGGAAGAGTATGTGTTGGGGAGTAAGGTGTAAGAAGACTGGAAAAGTAGGAAGGGGCTAGGAGGTCATGAAGGACCTTGAATGCCAAACAACATTTTGTTAGTTGCCCCTGGAGGTGATAGGTAGCCTCTGGAGTTTACTCTGTGTGTGTGTGTGTGTGTGTGTGTGTGTGTGTGTGTGTGTATCAGACCTGTGTTTTAAGAAGGTTTGAGGTGGGGGGAAGAGGTGCATAGCTCTGCCTTTGAGCCTAGAAGGACAGATGAGAGCATGGGTGTAAAAACAAAGCTATGTTGAAATTTGGATGAGAGCAAAAGTGACCATGAACTTTGAACTGTCTTTCCGGTAATGACATCCAATTTGAACTAATCCATCTGCACATTTTTACCCTGTTATTCCTCACAGGACAACAAAATGTATTAGTGCTACAGTCTGGCTATAACCGCAGAGTCAAGCTGACAAGTGTTTACCAAACTTCTACTATGTGCAGGCAATGTGCTAAGTGCTGAGGGTACAAAAAAGGGCAAAAATAGTCCCTGCCCTCAAGAAGCTCACCATCTAATGGGGGGAAGGGGTGGAGACAACATGCCATTAAATATGTGCAAAGGACATATTGATCGGGGAGTTGCTGAGGGGTCTGTGTGAGGATGACCTCCTGGGCACTAACGGAACATTCTCCCTAATCAGAGAAAGAAAAGCAGATGCTTTGGTCTTGTTACTTTAAAGGTTTATCCCACAGTTTAGTTTGTACAGAAGACAGAGGGAAAGCCCCTATTTAACACCAAAAAACCCCTACAAAACATTTTTTGGGGACACATTAGGTTTAGCCAAGAATCTCTTCTTACCCTCAAGCGTCTGATGCAGTCATAGCTCACACCTCTGGTATGCACAGAGGAAACTGCACATTAAAAAAACCCAAAACAACCAATATTATGACAGCTGTGGAAATGTATGCAGATTAAAAATTACAGTTAGTAAGTGAGTTAGAAAATAAACAGAAATTTATTTGGAAAACACTTGCCACTAACAGTGTTAAAGCTTTGGGAGGTGAGCCAATCCACCAATTCTTTCTGCGCCTGATGCAGCCAGGATAGGGAATATTTTAATATAACTGCTCTTGATTTGTAAAGAATTTTTGTTTTCATCTGCAATATTCTGAAATATGTTTGGTTCTGGGGCAGGAGCTGTGAGCCATCCTTTCATTTGATTGGGACTCTTTTTTATCTTCTGGTTTTATCATGTGATTATTGGTATTGATGACATTGAAAATTTCAAATTGTATAATAGACTCACATTGGTTATCGGTGACTTCACATTTTGAGTATCTATAATTAAGTTAATGTTTATGTAGCACCGGACAATGTCCACTGACAAGTAGAAATACCCAGAACTTCCCCTAGTCCATGACCCTGGAGAGACCCTCTGAGTGATGACCTCCCTCTGAAAAATATTTCCTCTCTTAAGGGAGAAGAAAGGGGACACAAAGCCTCTCAAGAGCAGTGGAGTACAAGATATAGGCACTAGCATACTGGGAATCTAAGATAAACTGCAGCCACTATTGAGACTACTATTACTGGTCTGAGCAAAAGTGGAGATCCTGCTGTGACCACTCAAGTGAACCGGCAGAGGAGTAGAAGCTGAGGCAATAGATAATGAATTACCTGTGGCCAGATAATGCAGGAGCCACTCAGAACAGATGCAAATGACTGGAGCCATTTATGATGCTGAGAACTGAACAGGTAACTCTGTAATTGTCCACTTACATTTTAATTTTTAAAAATTTTAATTGTTTTTAATTTAATTTGCCTTTAATTGCTTCACCTATATTTTTAAGAGTTTGTTTTCTTTCTCTGCTGACATTTTTGTAGTGAGTATTCTGGCCTTATTCTTCCAGAGCCAGTCTGGCTACATCATCCCTTCAGGCTTCTAAGGGCACCCCTCAGTGGCAGCTCAGTGACACAGTAGATGGAGTGTTGGATCTGGAATCAGGAAGACTTGAGTTCAAATCTGGATTCAGACACTTATTAGCTGAGTCACTTAACCCTGTTTGCATCAGTCTCCTCAACTGTAAAATAGAGACCATAATAGTAACTACCACCCAAGGGTGTAGTTATGAGGATCTAATGAGATAATAATTGTAAAGCACTTAGCGCAATGCCTGCCCACATAAGTACTATCCACTCAAGACCCCATTCCAGGGTGTTACCCCTCTCATTAGCCACCAGTGACTAGCAGCCCAGTTCTATTTAACCAATTAACATCAATTAGTTTTTACAAAGGGATATTTACTATGAAGATATAGCAAGAATAAAAATACAAACATGTCCGCCCCAAACCTCAGGGGCATACTTTCTCTTATACCATCTTGGTCTCTGGGAAAAGTAAGCTCCGATTTCATACAATTTCTACATAGCACTGGTCTCACAAAGCCCATGCCTAAATGGGGCATCCTTGCTAGATGAACCCTCATTTCACATGCTTCTGGACTGGACCAAAAAAATCTTTGAGTTCCCCTGGCTTCCGAAGTTCAACCAGCTGGTTGCAAAACCCAACATGAACATGACCCTTGGGCTTCCTTAGTGGTTCACTCTCCTGACCTCCTAAGGCTCACAAGTTTGTGGCCTCTAAAATAATTTCCTCCTTCTCAAATGAAATAATAAATTCAGAGGCAGAGAACTAAGTCCTGTATCATGGACCACAGGTGACCCTGAGATGGCATGGGCTCAAGGTCTCTTCCCTTATGACATCGTCTTTTCTTTTACCAGAATGACATTATCCAGGAAGAAATCAACACCAAATTTTTAAAAATCTGACAAATTTATTCCTTTAATTTTGGATTTTTTTTTTGTGGTGGTTATTCTTTCCCTTTACATTGTTGTAGGACAGAGAGAGAGAGAGAGAGAGAGAGAGAGAGAGAGACAGAGACAGAGACAGAGAGAGACAGAGAGAGAGAGAGTGTATGTATGTGTATTTTTTGGTTCTGCTTACTTCACTTTGCATCAGTTCATAGAATTCCTTTTATGCTATTCACTCTACATCATATTTGCTGTTTCTTACTTTCACAATTTGTCTAGCCATTCCCCAATGGGCATCTAGTTTGTTTCCAGTTTTTTTGCTACAACAAAAAGTGCTGCTGTAAATATTTTGGTGTAAATAAGACCTTTCTTTTTATTAATTACATTCTTGGGGTATATGCCTGGTAGTAGAATCTCTGGGTCAAAGGGTGTGGATAGAATATAGACCCTCTCCCCTTTTTGCATAATTCCAAAATGCTTTCCAAAACAGTGGGACTGATTCACAGATCCACCAACAATGCATCAGTGTACCTATCCTTCCATAACCTTCCAACATTAACTATTCTGTCTTTGTCGCCTTTGCCAATTTGCTCAGTGTGAGGTGAAACCTCAGGGCTGTCTGATTTGTAGTTCGTTTACTATTGATAATTTTGAACGTTCTTTCATATGGTTGCTGATAGTTGAAATTCTTCTTCTGAGAACTGTTTAATTATATCCATCAGTCACTTATCTATTGGGGAATGGTTTTTGGTCTTGGTTTTTGTTAGTTGTCTAAATATCTGGGATACCAAATCCTCAACTGAGAAATCCGATACAAAGATTTTTCTTCCCATTAAATAGCTTCTCTTCTTATCCAGATACATTAACTATATGTGGAAAATTTTTAATTTCATATAATAAAAAATTCCCACTCTATCTTTTATAATTGTTGCCATCTCTTGTTTGCTTAAGAGTCTATCTCCTACCCATAGCTTCAAAAGGTACATGATCTGCTTATCTTCTCATTTTTTTATGGTCTGATTTTTAACATTCAGGTCTAGTATCCATTTTGAATTTATTCTGAAATATGGAATAAGGTGTTGGTTTAAGCCTCCTTGCCAGTTTTCCCAAAAGTTCTTACTGAAAAAGGAAATCTGTCTTAAGTGATTTATGTTTTCAAGTTTATTGAATAATAAGTTATTGAGTTCCAGTATTCTCTCATTCTCTCCTTCCAGTCTGTTCCTTCAATCTAGTTCCGTGTTTTTTAAGCAGCACTAAATTGTCTTGGGGGGGAGGGGCAAGTAGGTGGCACAGTGGATAGAACAAGGGACCCAGAATCAGGAAGACTAATCTTTAAGAGTTTAAATCTGGCCTCACACACTTACTAGCTGTGTGACCTTGGGCAAGTTGCTTAACCCTGTTTGCCTCAGTTCTTTATCTGTAAAATGAGCTGGAGAAGGAAATGGTAAACCACTTCAGTATTTTTGCCAAGAAAATTTCAAAATGAGGTCATGAAGAATTGGACATGACTGAAATGACCGAACAGCAGAAACAAAATTGTCTTGATAACTCTTGCTTTATAATATAGTTTGAGATCTGGAAGAACTGTTTTTCCTGCATTTCGACCTTTTTAATGATTTTCCTTTACATTCTAGATCTTTTGTTTCTCCAAATGAATTAAAAAAAATTTATTTTCTCTATATCTGTGAAGTTCCCCTTTGATAACTTAATTGACATAGCATTAAAATTATAAATTAACTTTGGTGGTGTTCACATCATCTTTACGAATTAAGATGCTGCTTATGGAGTTGTTATCCACATGCACAAGCATGCCTAAAAGTGTGAAGGGATTATCTAGCAAAAGATCTTGATGGGCCAGAAAGGCAAGTGGTGTCTATAAGAGAAAATTTATTGGGGATAAATGTTTTTAAAAAGTCAACTGCAGAAATACAGAATAGGGAAAGAATAGTTAGATAATAGTGTGTGGAAAAGATCTGGCAAATTTAGTGGACTTTAAGCTTACAAGTACATAGTGAGATATGATGGCCAACAGTTAATGTAGATTCTCTTGATCTTTTCTCAAAACTTCAACACCTCCCCATCATCCTTCTCTCTCAGCTGAAAAACTTATCTCCTATTTTATTGAGAAAATCGAGGCCATTCGATGTGAGCTATCTCTTCTGCCTTTCTTTTCATCTCAAAAATCTCTTGACATCACCACCCCAGCTCTTTCCCTGTCCCCCATTCTCCTCCTTTTTTGAGTGTCTGACAATGAAGTGGTCCTTCTTGCAAGGCCAATCCCTCTACATATTCCCTTTATCCCAACCCTTTCCATCTTCTCCAGCAGATTGCAATCTCAATCACTCTCTCCCCCCACTCTAATTTTCCCTACTGCCTTCAGACATGACCAAGTCTTCCTTATCCTTAAAAAAAAAAAAAACCCTTCACTACACCCTACAATTTTCTCAAGCTATCATTCTATATCACGGCACTCTTTCCCAGCCAAACTCCTAGAAAAATCTATATTTACTTACCACCTCCACCTCCTCCACTTTCACTCACTCTTCAACTCTTTGTAACCTGACTTCAGATCTTGTCACTCAACTGAAATTACTCTCTCCAAACTTACCATAGATTTCTTAATTGTCAAACTTAATGGTCTTTCCCCCTCCCCTTTTCATTCTTTGTCTGTCTGCTGCATTTGACAGTGTTGAGCACCTACCCTACTGGATACTCTCTTCTGTGGGTTTTTGTGACACGACTCTTTCCTGGTTCTTCTCCAGCCTTTCTCAGTCCCCTTTGCTGGTTCATCATTCAGACCTACACCTCGCCCCCCTACAACTATATTCTTCAAGTCCTCCTACCCTTCCTTCTTTACCTTCATTCTCCTCATGACCTCATCAGCTCCCAAGGGTTTAATTACCATCTCTATGTAGATAGTTCACAGATCTATATATTCGGTCCAGGTTAACTCCCCTGAGGTTCTTCCAACATCACCAGTTGCCTGTAGTATATTTCAACTGAATCACCTGGACCCATTTTAAAATCAAAATGTTCAAAACTGATCTCATTATTTATATCCCCCCTCCCCAACTCAGCCATCTTCCAACAATTTTGTTGAGGGTTCCATCATTCTTTCAGTCTTCCAGGTTTGTAATCTGATGTATCAACCTCCACCATACTTATATTTCCAATCAGTTGCCAAATCCTGCCCTTTCTACCTCCACGATATCTCTTATATCTAATTCTATCTCGCTATTCACACAAATTCACTTTCAGGCAGCTCCTCATCATGAATTGCCTAGATTATTGTGACAGCTTTCTAACTGTTCTCCTTGACTCACATCTGTCTTCATTCCCATCCATCTTCTAGGCGTCTACCAAAGTGATTTCTTTTCTCAAGTCCTGATCTGCTCTGTTTAGCTTTTAAAGTACTGGCCTATCTTCTGAACCTCATTGGGTATTACTCCTCCCTCCTGCATTCTGCCATCTAGTCAAACTAGCCTTCTCTCTGATCCTCACTTATTCATTCATTCATTCATTCATTCATTCATTCATTCATTCATTCAGGCAATTGGGGTTAAGTGACTTGCCCAGGATCACACAGCTAATAAATGTCAAGTGTTTGGTCTGAGATCAGATTTGAACTCAGTCTCCTGACTTCAGGGCTGGTGCTCTATTCATGGTGCCACCTAGCTGCCCCTGCTCCTCACTTATGACACTCCATGTTCTAATACCACATCTATGCACTAGCTCTCCCCCCATGCCTGGAATGAACTCCCTCCTTACCTCTGTCTCATGGACCACCTTTCCTCCTTTACAATGCAGCTCAGACACAATCTTCTACATGAGTCTTTTCCTGATCTCCCAACTGCTAGTGCTTCTCCTCACAATCTCCCTTTCATTTAACTAGTTTGTGTGTGTGTGTATGTATATATGTTCATATATATACACACACATATGCA